GAAATTGCATTTTTTGCAGGAATAAAATCCCCGGGGTTGCTTGAACCTCTCCCTTCCAATTTTACACCCACTCCTTAGCTTAGTATTTTCAGAATAGATCCTACATCATAGCAACTTATTAGAAGGGGCCGCAATTCGAAGCAAGATAACAAAATGCAAGAAAATAAGAGAAGGACTTACTTCGGCCTATTCTTCTTTTTCTCAACTGTTTTCGCTGGACTATTGTTCAGCATCTTAAAGGTACAGTGTCATGTACACGCACTGATATATGCTGGCCACAGAGTGATTACAGTCATCCCGGATAGAGCACAGTATCTACTGTTATTTAATTCATTACCAATTAGTATAATGTTTATTTACATAAAAAATCTCGTTCAGGTATAAACATATAATACATAAAACAAACTCGAAGGGACTAGCAAGAAACATTGGTATACAAAAGAATGAAGCTTTAGTACAGCACCATCACCTACGCTTTGGAATTGAAACTAGTCAGAGACGTTGCGAAACAATTACATATCTGGCCATAATATCAATTGTACTAACATGAGAAAGTGTACGGTGGACGGCAAACAGGGTAACAGTTAATAAGAGCCACACTTCAATGAAAGTCTTTTCAAAACTTGGCAAGAAACTGCGGTAGATGACAAAAATTGCTGGAAAGCATCAAATTGACTAACCTGATCTAACAATATCACAAATCAATTATGCCTCCTATTACACCCAATAAGGTCACAAGAAATGAAAAACAGTTCTTATAATGTTCATTCCTTCAGCTTTGGGTCCTTCAGCCTTGTCTTTAATGGCAGCGGTTCTCCAGCGCGTTTCTCGTGGAGATCTTTCACCAGCTAAAAATTACAGATCATCTTATATTATGCTGAAGGCTTTCAAAATACTCCTAGTACCTGGACTCCGGCACGCTTTGCCATTCGACCAGCGATACTGCGAGGTCCAAGATCCCAAAGCTGAGCAGCTGCCAACGAACTGTGGCCTGCAGCAAACAGGGCATGATGAGCTGCTTCCGATGCTTCATCTCCGTACCTTCAAAAGTAACATCTGACAGGAAATCATGTTGAGCAGGACTTCCACATATGCAGAGCCTGAACATCTCAGCGAATCAAACAAACACACTTTATCTTCACATTCCGAACCGTCTGATCAGCAATATTCCGGCAAAGCGTACGACTGTTGTCCTCAAGTGCCATCCATACAGTGCTCACACCCACAATACCGCCTCCTATCACAGCTAAAACAAAGTTGTGGAAATATGACCATCACAGGAAGCACAGAGAGGTAACAAACTCACATATTGTGCCCGTCACGAGTCCACCACCACTGCCTTTACCCAACGTCTTTTCTGCACCAGATGCTAATGATCGCCCAATAGCTATTCCAGCGTCACCTATTTTATCCACTGAAATGGATTTATCGTCAAAATGAAGACAGAAACTGTTCAGATGCGATCCTTCCATGATTTGGAAGAGACACCTAGTCATTTCATATTAACGGAAAAGATAGAGGATCTTGCGCCGATCAATCCCTTTCCGGCATGCGCCACGAGTGTACTTCCATTCAGAATCGTAGTGGCGCTTATACGCGATCCGGTGTATACAATAATTCGCGGGACCTGCGTTTGCAAGTGTTTTTTGATCCGCTCAGTCAAAATGATACTGACTATCTAGCTCGAAGGGAAAGGAAAGCTCGCTACATGAACGACATACAACTTCAGGATTTGATCCCCAGACCGCGCTAGTGGAAGGTGCGCAAGTTGTCACTACACTACCCCCTCCCTCTCGTTGTATATAGAGCTAACATTTTAATTACGGTTCTTAGTTGACGCTTGACATCAAACACTTACGAAGAAACACTAAACTCAAACTTAGAAAACTCTAAGAATAGGAACAGGGCAAAACAAATGCTTTGGAGATTGGAATTAAAACAATTCCAACGCGCCTTGCGTACTTCGGACAAACAAAGAAGTAGAAGCGTATGGAACTCACGCAAATATCGAGTGCATTTGGCCACAAGTTTTGATCCTTTGTGCATGTAAACTAAACTTCCTTTAAGAGCCGGGTTAATGGTCATAGGGCTCTCGGTGGGAGCCAGGCCAGCTCGATACCTGTAAGAAGGAAATGGAGTTTGCAAAGCAAAATTCAACATACCTGCCTCACAGACAAGATTACTAAACATTCTTCGAACTTCCTGGAGAACCAACGCCGCAGATTTAGTTACTTTTCTTCCCTTTCCTGCTACTTTGATACCACCTTTTTTGTCTTCCATTCCCCACTACCATATGAGACAGCTCTTTTGTGATACTCATCATCTCCAAAGAATGTTGGTGTCACAAGTGGAAAAGATCACAGCGAAATCGTGAAGCTCACCTAATTACACCCCGCCACCTCATCTAAGAGGACACAAAATATTCAAAATAAACACTGTCCGCTTTTTAATACAAATGCTGTTCTCAAGTGTAGCTCTTTTATCGTTCCATTGCTTCTTCTCTGTGGTGCTCTTGTTGACTGTGCACAGTCAACAAGAGTGCAAAGAAAAAACATATTAGAAATAAATGAATATAGGGATATTCCTTTATTTGCCGGAGAACCAATCAGTTCAAAAACATTACAGAATTTCGAACAAATTACGAAATGTGGCGTGCAACTACGATAACTCACTTCTCTCCCTTGTCGTCCAAGTATGACGTCACTTTTACAGCCGCTGTTTCCACTCCCCAAGCTACACGCTCTCCACCTGCAAATGTTCCCATTTACTGGAAGAAAAAGAATCTCAACACGTTAGCACGCCCAAAACTGATTCTATTTCGATTTTAGCGCGAACCACAACTGATTCGC